AAAATTCCCCCCCCCCCCCCCCCAAGTCTGTAGGCTCTACGCCTTTCCCTGTCTATGAAATAAATCTATCTTAGATGGTTATTCATTTAGATAAATTTGAAGTCTTTCCTTACAAGTTTTTATTGACTGATGAGGTGGCAGGAAAGGAATAATTTCCAGACAGGCACTGACTTGCCCCATCATGCAAGAGAAGGATGAATGTTCAGAAGACTTCAAATAGCTGCACAGTGCATCCAGCTGCTCTGCATTTGTAAGGACATTTTTCTTTGCTATAGCTGGCTTCATCTGTCTTACAATTTATGCGAAGTGAACAAGCTGTATCAAGCCTGCAGGCCTTGTTTAAACAGCACAGTCAGAGATTTATGATGTGTATTATTGAGATCAATGTACCATGTGTGTTGCTGTTAGGTGAAGTTTACTTCAAGCTTTCCGTAAGCCTTGATTAGCACGAGGTTTATGCGAAGTATGTATTGAAGAAGGTAGGGCTTCACAGCTCAGACTGTGCATACTATCCAGATTGCCGTCCCTCAGAGACAATTCCTGACTCTTTAGCTCTGTTCATTGCAGATACTATCAGGAAATACCTGGGACTGAGAAAGTGTGCGTTATGACCCAGACTGGGTGACTCAGGGGGTTGTAGTAGTTTTGTGATGCCCTTGGGCTAAATTAAGGTGAAATGACACCAGGTGATCAATTAAATGCTTTATTTATGGCACAAGCAACTTAAACTTGGGAAACGTAATAATAGACGGTGTGATTCTATTGAAGCCTTTATGAGAAGAAAAGGAAGGAGAAGAAAAGAAAGAGAGCGAGAGAGAGAGAGCACCACCCTTGGATCCCGCGGTGACAATTGCAGACTGGTCGATCCTCGTGCATGGGTGTGCACGTGGCCCCTGATCTCCTGCGCAGGCGCCACCATGGGGGTGGTCGCGAGAGGGTCTTTTGGATGGTCGCGAGCCCCTTCCTCATATGAACTCTATGGTGCGTTGTCCTGCCGGGCCTATCAGGACACGGAACTGCACACCCTCCAGCATGCCCTCCATGGCCTATGCCTCTCACCTGCGTCCACCCTGGCCACACAGACCACAACCTGCTTTGCCACAATGTTTGAGGCATTAACTCTTTCAGTCTCTCACATCACCCCATGGCTCTAACATTGTCCATATAATCTTCATCCAGCGTGGTGATTCTCACATAACAGGTAGAGAAGATAAAAGTCGTGAAATCATACACCTTACAATGGCAAGGCCAATCATCAAAAACAAGAACCCACAGCCTAATATCACAGCAATATTTAAGCCATTTTCACCAACCTGTAAGTCCCAGTGAATTCAGGAGAGAGTTGAACCAAGATCCAGGGCTCCAGCTGTTAAACCAGTCCTTCGTCTGCATTGCCTGGAAGAGCTCTCCGGTCTGCTCCGACACTTCCCTCATCTTCTTTAGTGCTTCTTCTATGGTGGTGGTTGCATTGTGTATGGTGAGACAGCATTCTCCATCGGTGAGATTTAACATTCCACATATCCCCTGTTCTTTTAACAGTAACATATCTAAGGCTAATCTGTTTTGCAAAGTCATTTTAGACACCTGTTGAATCTGTACGTTCATTTCCCTGAAGGCATGATTGGTCCAATTGCTTAGGGCACATACCTGCCGGGTCAGATTTTCTAAGACAAATTGGTGTCTTTTAAGGGTCATATATAGGGTAAATATATCTTCTAACATCAGAGATGTTGTCATGCCCCAGGTATAATAATTGGATACTCAGATTCCATGCACCGCCCACTCAGGTTGTGCCTGGGACACATCACTTTCCTGGTGCCTTCTGTTTTGATGCACTAAGAAATTGAACACTCTAGAAGGACACATTGCAGGAACTCCTTTTCTGCACTGTAATCCAGCATGTGATCTCACATTAAGATGGGAATATAATTTTCCATCCGAACATCTCCACACTGTCCCCCATGGGGATGCATACCTGGCAGTAGAGCAAGTGTCCATCCTGCTGCTCCCTCCCACACTGTTCACATATGCAGGATCATGGGAGAGGGCAATTCCGCAAGTTACTACCTGACTGTAATCAGGTAACCTGATTACTACCTAGCCTGCAATCTGGGTGTAAAGCCTTAACATTGACAACCATAATGTTTACCTTCCATGCTGTGCTTGATGATAATCAGACACAATTCTTAAAGCCTATGCTATGCACAGGCAACCCTGTTGTCATGGGCAACTGGGGACCAGGCAAGGTGTTGCAAAGAAATAGATTTGTGTGTCTGTCTTTACAAGTGAAGAACTGTTACAAGAGAAACAGTTCTCTCTCTCCAGTGGTAGCTTACTGGTTTTGTGGTGCCTTGGGGATGGCAGGAGGAGACTGGGCACTGTTAAGCAGCCATCCCTCACCGGCTCAGCATCATCAGGGAATGCAACAATGACCCTTTCTTCCTGGCACCCCAATCTATGTCAGGTGGCAAAAGAGAAAGTCCTCTTGCCTCTGGACTTGAACGCAGTCGAGGCATCACTCTTCTGGGAGGTCTCATGGGACCCCATGAGAATCTTGCTTCCCCTGCCTGACTTCTCTTCATGTTGCATATCTCTTTGTCCCATTACTTTCTTCCTGTTGTGCTGAATTCTAAGAAAATACTACACTGCTCACAGCATAATTGCAAAACATCAAGAATTTATTAATTTCCAAGTAGCGTAGAGTCTAAAGTTAGGAGCTGTCTTCATGTTTCTTCATTCTCATTTTAAATCAAGCAAATCTATATACATGTTTTCAGACATCTGTATAAATTATGCAACCAAAGTCAGGGAGAGTTTCTTCTCCTGTTTACACACAGTATTTCCAGAAGCACTCAGAAAGATTCCCACGTTTCTTGTACTGTTTCCTGTCCTTGGTCAAGAAGCGGCCCAGCAAAGCAATTCGAGGATGATTTCCGTAGAAAGTCTGAAGTCAAACAGCATTAGAGAGGTTACTGTTGGATGGTAAATGTTCCCAGCAGGAAAGTACGCTCTTCACTGCCTCAACTGGTTACCCAGCCCTGTGTTCTGACCCGGGGAAGGTGAGGCAGCTGCCCAGTGTGCCCTCCGATTTAGATGATACACTAAAACTAGTCCCTGTCTGCTGCCTTTATAGTTAATTCAGCAGACAAGTGAACAGGAATGATGTTCTTCATTTACCTAATGGTTCATAACAAATCTGATAATACTGTGTATGTTGTAGTGGGGGAAAAAAATTACCTGCAGCTAATACTGGTTAATGTACTGGCTTGGCCTGGTGAAGCTGGAAATTGGCCTTTATTTAGAAAGCTGTTTTTCTGGGGAAAAAAGTGGGGGGTTGTCCTGGTTTTGGCTGGGATAGAGTTAATTTTCTTCCTAGTAGCTGGTACGGTGCTGTGTTTTGGATTTAGTATGAGAATAATGTTGATAACACACTGATGTTTTAGTTGTTGCTGAACAGTGCTTACACTAGTCAAGGACTTTTCAGCTTCTCATGCCCTGCCAGCAAGAAGCCGGGAGGGGGCACAGCCAGGACAGCTGACCCAAACTGGCCAAAGGGATATTCCATACCATACAATGTCACGCTCAGTATATAAACTGAGGGGAGCTGGCTGGGGGGTAGTGACTGCTGCTCAGGAACTGGCTGGGCATTGGTCAGCAGGTGGTGAGCAATTGCATTGTACATCACCTGTTTTGTATATTCTTTTATCATCATCATCATCATTATTATTATTTTCCCTTCCTTTTCTGTCCTATTAAACTATCTTTATCTCAACCCACAAATTTTACTCTTCCCCCCCCGCCCCAATTCTCTTCCCCATCCCACTCAACGAGGAGGGGGGAGTGAGCAAATGGCTGTGTGGTGTTTAGCTGCCTGCCGGCTTAAACCACAACAGGGGTTTAGAATGAAATGCTCTGGGTTACTTGCCTTTTTTTTTTTCTTTTTTTCGTTTTCTTCCCCTCCCCTGCTTATCTAACTGCTAAGTGATTCCAGCTTCAAGAACAGAGTGGCATACTTTAGTCTACACTGTTTACGAAGTCTGTGGATCTTAAATGATGTCTCGGTAACAATTCTGTGTAGTTTAAAATGTGGAGTCTTATTTTTCTTGTTTCAGTGACAGATGGTCATTTACTTACCTCTTTGATATTTTCCCTTGGGTTGTAGCTGCTGGGGCTAAGACCTGGTAGAGGGGAGACATAATGAAATGTTTTGCCATTTAGAAACCGTGAACCTACATGAGTCATTCTTGTGTGCCATAACGCTACAGCCGGCAGAAGTCTTGAACTGGAATGTTCAGAGGACCAGACAAACCCCTTTTGCTGCAGCACAGCTAGTTCTTGTGGCACACACTTCCAGCAGGATCTAGGACTCTGAAGATGCAAGCTGTACTGGCCTCTTCAGCAGGCATCTGTTATGTCTGTTGCTATTGATTCTGCACTTTCTGCAAGTGTTGATGTTTTAAAGAGACTGTGCTATTTTGTTTTGTCTGCTAGCTCCTTCTAGGCCAGTCTTTGCCTTGCCCCGGTTTTGCTACATGGAGGTTTTGCTAAACTAACTTGGAGACTTTTCCAGCTAGTACTGAGCACAAGCATGGCTGCTCAGCAGGTTTCCCCAAGGTCCCAGTTAACTAAATGACAGCTGTCTGTTGCCTACGCATAATGTTGTATTTCAGTAAATACCCAGGAGTCGGGGCACAATATCTGTGGAAGCTGGACATGCAAACCATGGGCACTCTCCCATAAATTGCTGTGGTAAATCCTCACCTGCTTTGTTGTCTTCAGTCAGTGTGCCCAAGAGCTCTGGCAGAAACTGAAGCTGGGAAGCGCTTCCTAGGCTGCCCAACCGCTCCAGATTTAATCTCGAATCTTCGTCACCTGCAAATGGAAGACAACAGAAACAGGTATACAGTAAGAGTCCTTTGCTTTGAATCCCTGTTTCAGTCTGTCTCAGATGATTTCTGAGCAGGTCTGTTGGCACCACCTGTTGAAGATTATCATGAAACCACCAATGATCCATCCTCATTTAATGACTGTAATAGAGGATAGTTGGGGTTTTTTTCCTTCCAAAGCTTTGAGAAAAGATACCTTCCTGATGTTAATCTCAGATTCTCATTTCCCTGGTAGATCTTTCTTTATGGAAGTTTTTTGACCAACACCAGCCCCTCTCATTGCTTGGGGAACTCACAACCTAATCCTTCTGGTACCCAGCTGTAGACAACCCAGACTTGTATACAATTTGGGTTTTTTTTTTTTAGTCCATTTCTTTATCAACTAGTTCCTATGCTGGAGTTTTTCTATGAATAAAGACAAAACTTCCTGTTCAAGGCCTATTAACCTGCTCAGTTTCCCAACTATTAAATGCAATAAAATGGGTGGAAGGGCAGGAATAAATGTAGGAAATCTTAAAACATATTTGGCAGCTATGCTTCTCAGTGCATGTCAGTCATCTCTCTCATTTAATGTGCGTACCAATACAGATATTATTACTTTTTCTGAAACAACAGATTGCTGATACCTAATGGAATTAATTTGTATGTGCATAGAGAATTTAGAATTCTGTAACTAGCCTGTGCCCAAAGGCAGGTTGCCAACAGGAGCCCTTAGCGGTGTTATGCTTGAGGTAAATAAGGCTTTTGTAATCTGAGCAGTAAATTTCATCTGATCAGTAAATTTCATCTTTGCTAATATATAGCAGACATTCAAAATTGTGGGCAATGAGAGGGTGCTATTATCAAACTAGTTGTGTAGACAAATACCGTTTTGCAGTTGCACTTTTAGATGTCGAGTTTTAGTTGCTCTTACCTGCAGGGATGGGTGAGACTGTATAGCTCCTCAGTAGGGAATATACAAGAAAATAAACTGCTGAAAATAATCCCCAACGTTTCAAAAAATTGGACCAAGATCAAGAACTTGAAGACCTTGGACATCCCTGTTGTTAGTTTGTTCACTGTACAAAAGGACAATTGCAAAGGACAGTGGGGATTTCAGTGTAAGACTCTGAATAAGAATGCTGTAACTTCCCTGTGCTATGTGGAGACAATTCATATCTCTAGCCTTATATTATTTTTTAATTCAGAGCAGTGTTAGCAGGTAAATTTGCTTTGAGATTTAAAAAAAACCAAAACAATCCTCTTTAATACAGAGTTCTACTTCTATCTTACCCAGCCTAGAGGCTCTTTGTGTTAGCAAGGAAGATGTAATAAGCTTAATGGATATCTTCAAACAAATGCAGTAATTTTTAGAGCCAGCTTGTTCACCCTATGATGCGATAGATGTTACCCATACTGAGTCATGTTTGCTTGTAAATGCAAGTTACATAGTGGAAGGCCTGAGAAGATGCTGGCTTAGCGAGTCCAAGATTTTCAAAGCAAACTAGGGACTACTGATATCTATAAACCAGCACAACAGCTGTTGCACCTGCAAAGCAGGTAAGAACAGCCACTTTTTAATAGTCAGCTTTATGCTTTGAGTTTGATTTGCCTGTTCTTTCAGAACTTGTTTCAGAAACTCTTCCAGCACAGGTCAGGTCTGATGACAGTAACCTTCCAGACTCTGTTGTGCATTTTTACTGAGCCATTTCAGTCTTGACTTATAGTATAATTTCAAACTTTGAGGACAGCTTTTTTAAGCAAAGATTTATTCTTTCACTGGATTGAATGGAATCTGCATTAGTGCAAACAAATAGCATGCTCAATACATTGCTATTTTTGTAGTGTAAGACAGACTTGCCTGTTCTTGTTCTAAGTAGGACTGCATTAATCTTTGCAGTAGGTTTCCCCCTTTTTAAATACAACTTCAGTTAAACATAGCTCATTTTAAAGTGTAGCGAGAGGGGAGACTGTACAGCAAAGTTTCTTTAAATTGCGCAATGCCTACTAATGCTGCTTCAAAGACAGAAGCTGTATATGCCAGCTCGCATTCAGTGCTAGAAGACTCAGATACCTTTGTCTCCTGGATCTCAAAGCAGCAGGAAGAAATATTTAGGGCACCCAACCTCCCCATTTTACAAGACTAGCACCCACTGATGATGTCACTTGCGCTGCTGGTATTCTGAAGACATTCCTGCTTTTTCTACAGCTGATCAGCACAGATAAAGGCCCCTCAGAAAGCATACCTGCTTATCTTCTGGTTTTACTGCTCCAGCCCCTGCTTTACGACCATTAAAATCAAAAGACTCTTACCTGAGAGTTGATAAGACATCTCACTGGCGTTGGTGATGGGGAGAGACGAGAGAGGACAGGAGAAGCTGATAATAATGAGACAGCAGAATACCAGCTTATGCATCTTTGCTGTGTTGAGTATATTTCAGCTTTGTCTACCCCTGTAATTCAGAACTCCTGTCTGACTGTTGCCTCTGCTCCCAGTTTCACCCGTTATATAGCCGCTCATGACCTCATAAATATCATCATGTTCTCTCCCCCCTTCAAAAAAAAAAATCCAATGAATTTATTGCCCATTGATTCTAAATGGAAACCACTTTGCATTGATGTAATTTTTCAAGGTAACAGTTCATAGACAATAAATTTACTGTCTTATAGCTTGGTGTACAAAATGGATATTATATCAAACCAAGCACAGTAAAGTTTATAAATCTAGCATTAAAAAAAAAGTAACTTCCAGTTATAAATCATGAGTTAACAAAAGGGTTAGACGTTGGTTGAAATGACCAGGGCAATAAGACAGCTGATTTATGAGCCTTAGCAGGCTTGACGCAAAGCATCTGATATGAAATGCACTTTTTTTTTTCCTTTTGTGAGATGGATGGATGTGTTGTGTTTTATTTGGGGTTCTTGTGCCAGAAAAAGTAAAAGGGAAGGGGAGTTAAAACATCTAGTTAATTTACAAAGAGAATGTTAGGGGAGTTCAATTTTTTTTTCCTTGTAGCATTTCACATCTATTTATTTGAGAAGACCTCATCCAATGTTGCCCTAGAGAATTGTCTTGGCAGAGAAAGTTCAGCTTCCATCTGCAGACTTGCTTGGTACATATAAACTACTTTGGTTGATATTAAACACAGGTCCCTCACTAGACTGAGAGACCCTTTTCCATTTCACTTATCTTCTCTTTCCCTCATTGGAACTAACTACTTAATTCTGTGTATGCTAGCTAGTTTTTTTTCCTTGTTTGCCTTTTGTTTTTATTTAATGCTAACACAGTAGTTACCATATGTAATCTCATAACTTTAGTCTTTATTTCCCTCCATCTAGCATATTTTGTCTCTCTACTTACAATTTCATTTTTCATATTAAGGAGCAAGGACTGATGTTTGTCACACAATGTTTGTGCCTTCAGATGCTCTTCAAAATACTATGAAATCCAACTAATGTTACTAAAGTTCTTTCCCTATGCTGAACTGCGTGATAATTGTAAGTTGAAAAAGGAGTAAGTTGAAAAAGGAGTGAGCTTATCTGCTTCCTTTTTCCTTTATTAACATTTCCTGTTGAAGATCAATTTTTATATTATAAATTCTGTGGCTCCTAGGACTAATTTCAAATAAGCTATATAGGTCATCTAGAACAGATATATTTCTGCTGCAGGTCTAATTCAAAGAGAGCATGCCCCACACATGCGTGGTTAATAGGTTGTCCAGAAAAGCTGTGGACTCTGTGAATCACAGAATGGTTGAGGTTGGAAGGCACCTCTGGAAATCATCTAGTCTAACCCCCTGCTGCTCAAAGCAGGGTCAGCCAGAGCAGTTTGTCCAGGAGTGTGTCCAGTCAGGTTTGAAGGATCCTGTTTCAAGGATGGAATGGGACAGAATTTCAAAACTAAGCTTGACAAGGCCCTGAGCATCCCCATATAAGTTCAAATGCTCTGCTTTTAGTGCAGAGGTGGGGAGTGGGAGGGGTGAGAGAGGACCTTCAGAGATCCTTCCAACCTAAACTTTTCTATCATCCTGTGTGTACAGAGAGGTCTAGTATTGACTTAGAGAACACATGCTGCAGGTGTACAAATCCTGTTTCTCTGGACTTCTCTTTGCTGAAGTGAGTGGATATGACAAAATAATTTCTCTGTGGAATTAACCTAATACATTTTATATGCCTCTTTCCCTGTGCTTCCCTATGAGAGAAGTAAATAGCTAGAGAGGAATTCTCTCTCCCCGTCTGAGTCATGCAACTCTTCGTTCCAAAACTGCAGACAGTAATTAGGTCTGATTTGATGCATGATCTCACTGTTGGTGCTGGATGCTCTGTACAAATGCTTCTCCTTCAGTGAACTATCAATGACAATGGCATTATCAGTATTCACTCTGAGCATCCTCCAAGGAAAGCTAATGAAGCACTCTTCACAAGCAACTTATGTCCTTTGTCTTCTCTCAGGGAAGACTCAGCCTTTTAGAGCCATCATGAAGTGCGTCATGTGGAAGTTGGGCAACTTGCCCGCAGCTTATTGCCTTTACTCAGATTTGAAGTTGTCACTTAGACCTCTTTCCTCTACCAGAATGTCAAAGGCATTCTCCTCAGGGGACAGTGCACACGTCATCGTGCAAAGCAAAGAAACAGCTCACCCTAAACAAAGGTACAAACCCCTGAATACATGGGCGAGGGAAGTAAATGTGAATTGCACTTTAAAAACTTAGAAATTGATTTGCAAGAAACACTTTTAATTTTTATCAAAACTTCTATTTTGTGGGAAAACTTTTTTAAGTTCTTATTTATGCTAATAGACTTGCTTTCAAGTGCTTCAGTTTAAAAAAGCAGAGCAGCAGTAGTCCAGATAAATTACCAAGCAAACTCTGAGTAGTAAGTGTATGTTATGCTATCATAAAAGATTATATTTAATTATCAGAAGAAACAACTATTATTAGTTTAAAATGATGGCTTGTGAAGAATAAGTTGCTAATGAAGTCAAGAAAACTTAAAAAAAAAAAAAAAGACACAACAAAACCAACCAAAAACATCCCCAAAAATTATCCACCTTCTGAGCAAAATAGTAAGGATGAAATCTAATCTATGATGCAAAAGTTCTTTCCCCTGTTTTAAAGTGCTTTATGATAAGTCAGCACGAGTTGTTATTTTAGTCAAGTATTGTGACAGTTGACAAAAGCAGGAATTTCAGAGAAGATGTGATTTAGCAGTAGCATTTGTAGGGACTTTTTCCTACGATATAACTTTTGGTATAACTTGGCTTGAATTTAGTTTGCATGAAGAGGAGGTGTGCAGTAGAATGTTTTTGTATCGACACTGTAATTACAGATGAGCTTATTATTATATAAATGTCCAGTTCTTCCTTGAATTTTACTAGAACTTTTAACATCTTGTTTCAATGCGTTATATGTGTTGGCTGGTGTGAGAGAAAAATTTGTAGTGTTATTTACTTCCCTGCTAGGGTCTAGCATATCATTTAGGGGTTTGGGGGTTTTTGCTTTGATGTCACTGCTGGTTTAGCAGATATCCATCCTCATTAATACCTAAGACGTTAACTTTAACTTAAAATTTCTCATTTTAGCTAATGATTCAGCTTTGTAACATGATTAGTAGATCTATTTTGCATACTGGAATAGCTGCCTTGTGAGATCCTATGTGCAATAAGGTTTTTCTCCTGCCACTAGCTTACATTGCCTTACGTATACTCTGCATTTTAGAGTGTACTGAAAATAGCCTGTTGGGAGACTCAGAGGATCAAAGGAAAAAACTAACTGTAATCTTGGGCTGTTAATTTCCATTTTTGAAGATGCTTCTGCCCACTGTGTGCAAACTGTAATGTAGCACGTGGTGTATTTGGGTGCGCGCAGTAGTATTTCTATCTTCTGAATTTCTCTCAAAAGTTATGTAGGATCTCTTGAGAGGTTCTGACCTAGTTTTTCTTGTTCTGTGGTGGGCTGAAGATGCATAAGTGAGTATGTGTGCTTAACTGAACACATACCTCCACGTAAATGAAGATGGCAGGTCCGTAGGCCTTTCTGAAGATACTTTGTTTTGCTACGGAGCTGGCAAATGGTCTAAAAATTCTCTAGTACAGGATCACAGCTGCCAAAACATTGCTCCTTTGTAGTATAGTTTCCACCAGTTTGGGGGGAAAAAACCCTCTTGATTTTTGGCCCTGCTGGGCTGGCACACTGTAGTCTGGGTATATTCTCCAAGTGAAGCTTGACAAACTGGTCCTTAATTCCCCTGTCCTCTCAGCACTACAGAATTAGCAAACTGCAGCTTCACACTGTTTGACATGAAGGAAAGTAAGTCTGGCATGACTGGCGCTTGGAAATATAGCACATCGATATCTTGTGGGAATCAGATTCTGGATAACGCAGCCGCAAACAGAGGAGCAGAGACCAGATCTTGAAATAAGGTTTCTTCCACAAAAAATGTAATGGAACTAACTATGCAATTACAGTTTATTTTTAAAACTGAAATTATGAGAGCAGACGGTATAAGGAAAGAGAGGAATGCTTCTGCAGCAAGAATGGAACTTTCTCTTTACCTTTCTCCCGCTATCCCAAGGTATCCCAAATAATCTGTTCAACCCTAATAAGAAATTACGATCTGGACAAAAGCAGAATAAAAACTTATTTATCTCATTTTTCTAGTCTGCACAGAAAGGAGTACAAAGCAGCCTTGCTGAAAGGCATAGGCTGTTAGTCAGTGACTGTCCATTCTTACACTCTCCTTTCATCAGTCCTAGCTATAGAGCAAGCTGGAGACTTGGGCTCATTTTCTTTGGAGGTGCATGTCTGCTTCTGCAACACTGCTGCACTTGGAACCGGTAAAAGTTTCCAATTTGGGCTTCTTTGTTGCAAAGAAGTCTGTTGTGGGGCATTTGCAAGGCACAGTACTGGATTTTCCGAGACCTTCCAATAATCCAGAGTAGTCCAAATCAGCTCTGATCCTAGACACAGTGCACACTCCTTTCCTTCCTGGTGTGGGGAGCGTGAAGAGAGAGCACTGCTGAGAAAGAACGGGGTAGGTGGATACATTTTCCTATTTGGTTTTCTGAACAGGGCTAGATGAACTTTTGGGCGGCTGTATTTTTTAACAGCTAGCCAGCGTGCCTCGACCGGTTACAGGTACCTTGTTTCCTCAGACGAGGGAAGAACCCCTCCCTCTCTGCCCGTGCTGGCTTGGTCCCTCGGTGGATTCGAGGGGGCTGATGATGGCATCGCTGCCCCGGCAGGTGGCGCTGAGCCACCTCCCGAGAGAGGCCGGCCTGCCGGGGAGCGGGCGCTGGGGTGCGGCCCGCTGCGACGGGCGGTGGGCTGTAGGCTCCAGCCTTGCAGGAGAGAACGAAACTGGGGGAAAGTCACCGTGCGGTGTGGGTTTGGTTTTGTTGGGTTTGGGGTTTTTCCCATTTTTCTCTTCTAAAAAAGGTTTTATTTCTCTTC